ACACCACGACCCCCGAAAGCCCGCCCCGGCCTCCAGGACCCGGAGCCGGCGGAACGACCGGCCCCGGTGGCTGCCTGAGGAGGCGGGGCGGGGTTGCCATCTCCCGGCCGGGGCGTCCCTGGAGACCGGGGGGGCGCGTCCCCAGGGTACCACACCAGCAGGGGCGGCTCAACCATGAAGCAGACGTGCTTAGAGCACCGGGGCCAAAGGGGGCACCACGAAGTTTGGAAAAGAGTGAAAAGGGGGGGGAAAAAGACGAATGAAAATTTGTTAACACTTTTTTTTTTTTGGGACAAAACTAGTGCACATGGATCATGGCGCCACCCTAAGGGTTATCTTCAATGTTCCCTCTAAGCTGTGGTGTCTTGTGGGCAAAAATTCTACTTTGTGAGCTCCTGGCATGAAAGTTGTGAGCGAGCGATTTGGCAACTGCGTAAATTAGTTTGCTTTGGAGCCCCGTCCTTCCTGAGCTAAGACAGAAATCTGTGAGCTGGAGGCTAAAAAACTGTGAGCTAGCTCACACTGACTCAGCTTAGAGGGAACACTGGTTATCTTCTGTTTTTTGTTGGTGAGGTGCAGTGTCGTAGGCTATGTTTAAAAGTAAAAGGCGTGTGTTTAAAAGTAAAGTGATGTCATGACAGTCATTTCGATGACCCTCTCTGCCCCTTTTTTAGTTCCAGCCCCATGTAAACATCAAAGATGAAGCGTGTTCAGTTGAGTGGTGTGCAAAAGGAGGGGGGCACCAAGATTGGTCAGTGCTTAGGGCACCGGTGAGCCTTAATGCGCCCCTGGACACCAGGCAGTCCGCCCCCCCAAAAGCAGCCACATTCTTCCAGGGGGGCGGATCTCTGCTGCCTGGAGGCCCCCCCTTCCCTGGAGGTCTCCAGGCTCCACCTGGAGGTTTGGAAAGAAGTAAACCACCATGATGTGTTATGCCAAAAAAAAAGTCTCCAAAGAGCAGAAATTTCTTTTCCCAATATTTCAGTTGACTGGAAGAAATTCAAGCGCCATCAACGCAACGGATCGTGCGTATGATCTCCTTTCGTGTGATGTGATATTTTATTCTGTTTTTATGCTGTTTTATGTGAAGGCAGTTGTTGCCCTATTGTAAGCTGCCCTGAGCCCGCTTGCGGGGAGGGCGGGGTAGAAATGTAATCTACCAGAGAGTAAATAAGTGTATAACTTTTTCAACGTGAGTAGCGTGGTTTTGATGAGTGTCACTATGAGATACTACCAGAGAGTTTGTGAAATGGATTGATATTGTATTTCAACGCTACTCACCTTGAAAAAGTTATGCACGAAATGAGATAATATGCATGATCCGTTGTGTTGATGGCGTTTGAATTTCTTCCAGTCAACTGAAATATTGGAAAAAGAAACTTCTGGTCTTTGGAGACTTTTTTTTTTTTTTTGCATAATACATCACGGTTGTTTACTTCTTTCCAAACTTCCATCCCGTGATCTCTCTGTTTTGCATACACCTGGAGGTTGGCAACCCTACCTTGACCTCTTGGAGGGGAAGGAAAGCAAAGCATCCTGTAAAGGCTTTTGTCTCTACGCCAGGTTTTGTGAGTCTCGCTCACCAGCGCTGGTATGGGAGGAAAAGTTAGGTTTCAAGTCCAGAAAGTGCATTATCCAATAGTGGTGAAATTAGCCAAAGTTTCCTTCGTCAGATACAAGTGGAGATCTCTGAGTCCTTATATCCCAGTCTGAAGGTGGGAGAGGTGTGGGCTGGGATTTCCGAGATCCAACCCGTGTCTAATGAAGGGAGCTTTGACTCTCAGAAGCTCGTACCCTGAGAAACTTAAGAACAGAGTTTGAGTCCAGTGGCACTTTTAAGACTAATAAAGTTTGATTCAAGGTAGAATTTGAAAAAGTGTGCTTGCACGTGAAAGCTCATACCTTGAATAAACCTTTGTTGGTCTTAAAGATCCCACTGGACTCAGACCTGGAACTTTGATTCAAGGTATAAGCTTCCGTGTGCATGCACACTTCTTCAGATACAGCGAAATGGAAGTTACCAGTCCATACATATAGGCAAATTAGCATACAGCCGTTCAAGAGATGCAGGGACCAAACTGGAATGATAACCTTAGTTTATCTGGTCACCATTTGTTTGAGTTTAAATCTGAGAGGAGACATAGTCGAGGAAATAAATCTATCAACATCGGAGATTGATGACAGATCTACCCTTCTTAATTGTGGGGTGTTGAGAGGAATTAACGGAGACCCCGCCGTCATGCTCCGTCCGTCTCCTCTCGAGCATGGGATCTTGTCAGTCTCTCAGGTGCTGCTGGACTCGAATTTGGCTCTTTGAGCAACACAGCTACCCTGTGAAACTCTCTTTATGGGAGGGAATGTTAATCTGTGAGGGGACGAGGACTGGGCTTTGGCTTTCTGGGTGGGGTCCTCCTTCCATGCTGGAGACTTGCAGGGTCTTAGCCTTCAAGTGGACTATTCAGTGTGGTGTTCTTATTTGTGAAACCCAGAAGGTTGTGGGGTATTTGGCCTGTGCCTGTGAGGCTGGTGTTCATCCTGGATCACGTCAGAATGGCGACCCGGCACAAGTGAGCAGGGATCTGGGTCTTCTGCCCATCTAGGGACCCCTTTGCAGAGGGCTTGTTGGCCTCTCTTGGCTAGAGAAACGTTCACAGCTACAGTGGAAGTTAATTTCTCGTGCCTCTGTGGTTCTCGAGTGATTTGCATGGGCAACTGGGACCCAAAGATAGCAGAAATCAGTGCTTGAGCGGCAACAGCAAATGCTGTTTATAGACGTTTTGTTAACTGCCCAAAGCAGATGACCCGTGAGTTTGGATGTCAGATTTCAGCAGCAAAATCTAAGTGGCGAAACTGGTTGATTTTAGCAAAAAGCCATTTCGGCTCTACTCAAGACAAAATTTATCCACCTTCTGGGCCTTTGTAAGAAATTTAGCAACCGGCAAGGTCTAGGTGGTTTTTCCTTTTGTGTCCCTGTGTGTTCAGGCTGTTGTGGCCAGCTTCCAAGGGATTTTAATTTATTGCGTACATCTCTCTGTCCTCCCTCCCCTCCTTCTTTGTTTTGGGGTGCACTGTAGGTCCAAGGTTATATGTGCAGCTGAATCAAATTCTGATGCTGTAGATTTTCCGGGTTGTGTGGGGTGGTCTTGGCATTGTAGAATCTGACGTTTCTCCAGTAGCTGTGACAGGCATCCTCAGAGGTATAACACAGAAAGATGGAGTACTCTCTGTGTCAAGGTGAGAAGAAAATGGGAGGCAGGTAATTTATATCTACTCCAGAAGGTGGGGTAGGGCTGAGTCATTATCTTGTAGGAGTTCCCCAGGCTGCGAACATGCTAATGGAGGAGCTTTCCTGGGGAGGTTCTTTTGTATATGGATTGTTTCCTGAGGAGGTTTCCTGTTTCCTGAGGAGGTTCTTTTGTATGGATTGGCTGCTGAAATTCTAATCTTATCTGTAGTGCTATTGTCAGATGTAGAGTCTTTTGTGTTTTTCAGGACGGGAAACCATGCCTTTTTATTTTTAAACTCTGTTTTAAAGCCTTTGACAACATATCAAATTCTGATGCTTTATTTAGATGGCACCACAGATATCTGCTGCTGTAATTGTAAGTGTAGTTGGTCAGGAATACTGTTGATGTCCCTCTAAGGGAAGAGAAACTTTACTGCCCTGCGGTGTGTTTACGTTCCCATTTGAAAGCACTTAGGCATGCCTGATTCCTGATAGGATTGGTCTTTTAGGGTGATTGGATTGGATAAGATTGGTCTTTTAGGGCCTGTACCTGCTAGGAGGCGAGACCAATGGGATTTGAGAGCAGTGCTCCAGGAAGCTGGTTTAGTTGAGTGCTAGTATGATTAAAGCTGTTTCCTTGATTGGTGCAAATTTGAGTAGGTGTCCTGATAGATCCACGAAATATATGGTCATCCACTGCCGCCTTGTTCAAATTGGTGGAATGCTGGGTTGAGTGCTCTGCCACAGTCCAGTGACAGAGCACACAGAAGTTCCTAGGTTCGATACCTGGCATTGCCACTAAAAAGGAGGAAGGGAA